TAATATAATATAATATAATATAATATACATTTTATATTATATTTTTCAGATGACCCACTGAGGCGGCCAGACCTGCTGTACGTGGCTGCAACTTTGAGGGACAACTCGGCTTTCTTCCAATCTGAGGTCATGCGTCCTGCCAATGACCCCAAAGAGAGAGATCCTGCCCATTTACGCATGCTCAACGACATCCTACGAGATCTGGAAAAAAGCTTCCTTATCCCGAACCCACCTCCTGGCTTTTCCAGGTAACTGTTTTACACCTGTGGCTTACAAGATCGCAAACGTGGAACATGCATTGCCGCTAAAAGTTTGATCAATCCATACATTTTTACAACATGAAATATTTCATACAAAGCGTGATGTATTATATAAGTTTCAAAGGAAGTGAAAAGAGGTGAAACATTTGGTGGAAACTTTGATATACCTGAAAACAGAGTTTAAACAGGTATTAATTGAGTGTTTAGGGGTGAATGAAAGTTGAATAAAAAGTTTATTGTGAGAACCGATAAGAAAGTGTTACGTGCTAAACCTGCCAACTTTTTGTGAAATTACTTTAAGGAAAAAAAAAAAGCAAATATTGCACAAAGACCTGACTATCCTACTTTTTTCCCCACACAGGTTTACTAAGAAGTTTGTGTCTTAACAATCTATGAGTGTGATCATTATTTAAAGACTTGAGACATCTTTTAGAATGAAAAACATAACAGGGGATTTATTTATTTATTATTAATGCGTATGCATAAGCAAATGTCAAGCACCTTGCCATTAGAAGGTTTTTGCATTCTCAGGCGAGGAACCAAAAATTAGTTGTTAAGTTGGACAATTTTTCCACTTCTCATAGTAGACCAGCAGTCTACACATAGACAAATGTCACGTTTGTGTTGAAATTTGTGATGAAATGGCACATAACTACTTGTATATACAGATAGATAGATATATTGATGAACAAGTAACCTAGTGTTCCAATTATTAGTCCCTTGGACTATACACTGTATATGATATGACAGTTAATTTTAGAATTACAAGAACAAAGGCTCCATGCCAATAAGTGCTAAGCTGCATTGTCAGTTGGACTACAGCATCTGCAGTGCCTTGCTTTGAAATCTGTGGCCATACTGATATATTTTGACACTTTAAACTGCATTTCTAATCAGCATTCACCTGGCAGTGCTGTTTATCTGAAATTAACCCAATGGCTTAAAGAAAAAGTTTTCTTGAAAATACAAGTTTTTTGGATGCACTACTCCAAAAGGATCCCGCTTGTGTTTTCGTTAGGGAGTGAATGATGACATCACTTTCCCATGGTCTACTGGGGCAGATGCTGCTGAGAGACATGCTAATTTGCATCTCTGTCAAATGTTGTTACCCCAGACATAAGTGCCGGAAAGACTGCCTCATCTTGAAAATGAAACAGTAAATAAATAAATAAAATAAACAAATACATTAATTAAATAATCTCTTTCCTCTCAGAGATGCAATAATATTGAGCTACAGTGAAGAAATGCTCATTGCTTAGTATGACAATTAGATTGCATTTATAAAAAGCTGTGTTGGCTCTTTATTTTATATTTGTATGGTACAGATACAGGTTACACAGAATTGCCCCCAGGTTCATAAAACATTCATGACCATAAAGATTATTGGTTGTTCATAGTGAAAGACCATAATTAGCACAAGATTATAGTAGAAGTCTATAGGAATTTATTAGCATATAGTCCCATGATACCCCTAAGGGGGGATTCGTGGGTCGATGGACTGAAGTCACCGTCATTTAGCTGTTGTGCTGATGTCATCAACTATTGCCATCACAGAAAGCAGCACTGGGATTGAATGATCTGACAATGCAGGTCAATAAGTCAAGAGTATTCATATATACAAAAGCATCTAAGGTCAGCAAATTAAATGAACAATCTGTGTCTTTCTTTAAATCCAATGTTCCTGGTTGGTCCCCCTGACAACAGCCACGATTAGGTGCTTGAAAATGCAGAGGAGTGAACAAAGGGTCAAGCACAATATTAAGAAGTGCAGGCCTGTGTTACGGAGTTAATGGTTTCTTATGACCTTCTCGGTGGAGGAGATCTAGATCTCAAAACTTTGGCCAAAATTATGTGGTAAAACACTATTACAGGTACACAAACACACACACACACACACACACACACACACACATCATCTTTCAGGGAATAGAAGTAAATCCCTCAGTCAACTGTGATTTCCCTCCTCAGCTCAGCAGAATAAAGTGCTGATCTTCAGCCAGTGTCCTCAAACGCTTCTTCTCAACTGGGATTTTCAGATGTGCCTCTGTTGTTGATTAAGATCCATAATGGACTGGCCGACAACACAGCATGCAATCAAAATGGATGTTCCGATTATTTCTCCTTTTTGTGTTTGGGTGAATGCTTGTTTGATCTTCCATTGATCCTCAAGGTCCACGACGCACCCCGGGTGCTGCATTTCTGCTTTGACTTTTCTCTTGATGCCGCTGTTGGCGTCTGTTGGCTTTGCTAATCTGGACTGAAGGAGGGCCCTGTTATTATCAAAGCGGCATGCAATTGTAATCAGCAGCAATCAGCATGTCCTGGAGTAGTTTTTTATTAAATTAACAGAAGAGGAAGCAAACGGAAGTACGGAGAGACTTGTCAGGGTACCTGCTCATTATCTCTCTTTGGGTTCTAGCCTGTGAGAATTAACTCCCTCTCACTGATCTTCATTGTTTCACCCCCTGTGTTTTATACACTTGCCTCCCTGTTTATCAGTCAGTTTTAACCAACTTGATTGAAATACTGCAACTGAAAATAGACTGGAAAAAGAGGTTTTGTGTTGCATGATATAGTCACTCACAGGAACCCCAAAATTAGAGTTTTGTTATCATTTACACACTCTCATGTCATTGTAAACCTGTATGACTTACTTTCTTTTGTGTAACACAAAAGGAGGCGTTTAGCAGAATGTCCATGCTGTTCTTTTCCATACAATGACAGTAAATGGTGACTAAAGGCTGTCAAGTTTCAATAATAATAAAAAACACCCTCACAGTATCATAAAAGTGGCCCATATTACTACAGTATATTGCAAGTCTTCTGAAACAATATCATAACTTTTATATAACAGGTTAAAATTGAAGTCACTATTCTCTAAAACAAATCTTCTCTTCCGATGTAACTTTCAAATCTCATTCACATTTCTGTACATTCAGGTATGTCTTAATATGTGTTATGCCATGTACTTTTGACATCATTAATGCTCTTGTGTATTTCCTAATCAATCATGGCGTGTCAAATTATATGCACATTTTCAAATGACACAACTGATATTTGAAAGCTACGGCCTAATTTTGGTATTTTCCTCACATATGGCTTTAGGATACTTGGATTCTAGCACACAGGTTGTCATTATTACATTTTATGGTACTTTTTTAAAACTTGACAGTCATTGGACACCCTTTTTGTCATCAGTGTCAAAAATATAAGGGTTTGAAATGTCATACGAGTTAGCAAGTCATGACAAAATTGTCTTTTTTTTCAGTGAATAATCTCTTTAAACAGAGCCTTCTGTCAACTTTTTGTTGTATCATTATTGAACACATAAGTGTTCCTCAAGGGGTTAGGTTCAGGTAAGGGTTTGACTTCAGTGGCTGAAAGAATAGCGCTAACAGACACTCTGGAGGCTTTGTTCCTGCAGATAAAACCAACACCAATATTCAGTAGACATGAAATAGATGATATCTGAACCCATGCAGGGGACGCTGCTGCGTACGCTAAACTCGATTTGTAGCTGCTGTTCAGGAGAACTCTTTCTCCATTAAAAACAAAGTATGTGGTGTTACCAGGGAGCCGAGATCGATATCTCAAAGACTTCATGGCGAGATCTATAAAGACCTCCAGCAACAGTTGGTGTAAAAAAGATATGACTGAAATTGTAAAAAAGGGACAATATTTGGAAAGTGAACAACCTGAACTACTTATCATTGTGGATCAGTAGGGGTGGATGATATACTGATTAACTGGTACAAATTTGTCAACCGGTAGAGATTTTGAACTATGGTCTCTATCGCGGTTACACCCTCATGTGACGTTCCTGCAGTGCTACGTGGTCACGGAAACTTATCTTTAAGCATTGCGGTTTAAAAAAACAAGTGATTTTAAGCCATTGAAATGCAATCAGCAGCGAAAGAAAACGTCTCAGGTTACTTATGTAACCATGGTTCCCTGAGTAGGGAACGAGACACTGCGTCCTCTAGGGGTCGCTATGGGGAACGCCTCGTCGTGACCCGTGTCTGAAGCATACATTGAAAAAACACC